ATACGAATACAGGGAATATTTTTATTCAGAAATGTTTGGAGCTATTACTTCAATTTTACATTGCCAGCATAATACGTTCATTTAAGATGAACAAATTGCCGAAAATCCACAATCACAACTTCAAGAAATAGGAAACGTGCAAGAAATGAAAAATCCTGGAAAGTAAACTAAAGAAAGTTAGGCAGAAACTCAGGGAAGAAGTACGTTTCGAAGAGGGGAGTAACCTGAGAAACATTTTACTCACTCGGATTGTGGCTGGGCAAAGAAATGCTTCAATTTACTTACACAAACTGAACGAAAACTAATATTTGAATCGTTCTGGAGCCTTGGAGATTATGTTTCACAAAATTCATATATCCACGGTCTCGTACAAACTAACAAAGTTGTTCGAAAACGTCCAAAAGATGATTCTGGTCATGAAAAGCAGACTTCTTTTATGTATTTTTTGAGGAATAACGGTAATACTCTGGCTGTTTGTAAGAATTTTTTTTTGGCTACTACCCAAATAAGTAATGTACGACTGTATAGATGCATTTCTAAAAAGAATATATCAGAGTGCAAAGAAAAGCGTGGAACGACAAGCTCTAGGCGATACCGATATTGCTGTCCATATAAATAGTTTCCCAGCCTATCAATGTCACTATTCTAAAATAAAGAATCCTAATAGAAGATATTTGAATAGTGAATTAACTGAAAAAAAATGTAAGATTTATGTAAAGAAAAGTGTTCCAGTGAAAACAAACAGCCAAAAAAATTAAAATACTATCATGTTTTCAACACGAAATTTAATTTACACTTCAAACCACCACATCAAGATACCTGCAAGAGTGTGAAGTATTTGATTTAAAAATTAAGGCTACAAATAATGAAGAGGGTGTAAGAAAACAACTGGAGTTAGAAAGGGAACTGCATCAAAGAAAGGCACAATCGGCCAGAAATTTTCTAAAGAATGATTTGAAGAATGTAAATAATGCATATGTAATGACTTTGATTTACAGAAAGCCCTCGCGTTTCCTAAAATTTACATATACCTATACAACTTAGATATTCACTGTGAAAATGATAAAACTGGATATACTCGTATGTACATATGTGATGAAACCCGAGAATACCGATCAAGGAGAAGCGACAACTTGGTGTTTTCAGTGTACCGTTTTGTAACGCTCATGTGCGAAAATAAGTTGTGTATCACTCAAAATGATGTTATGTAAAAGTCAGTCCAAGTTGTGTTTAGTACGTGAGCAATGGTAAGTGATATTTTTTGGTGTTTGTTTTGTGTAGTAATAAGATGAAGATTTTTACACACTTAGGTATTCTAATAGATATAAAATATGCCAAAAAAGTTATTAGGAAACTAAGAATTTTATCACATGCATACATATTAAGTATATTGATTTAATCATTTTTTACATTTTATTTTTCATATGTATGTATTGGATTTTGTGAAATGTATGTTTTTCTTCTTTTAAATAAATTTAATAATGAACTGCAGATTTTGTTTATTTTATTTTGAAATTATATTTTAAAAAATATAATAAATCCGCGTGGTTCAATTAGAATTGGTCAAAGTGGGTGAAATCTCTTTATTATGGCTAAATTGTAAGTTACAATTATGTCAATATAAAGATGTTTTGCCCATTCATATTTACATTTATTGAATGAATCATACTGGAGTTGATTTTGGAAATATTGGTTCATACTTAAATAAGTACTATTTCTAAAAATTCGTCTAGGCCCAGACAACAGCACACATAGTCCAATGGACGACCACTTTAGATCTATTTGAGGGTCAGGACGTCCATATCCGGGCATCCAGTGTACGTTCGTTTATGCTAATTAATTTGACAGCTAAATATCGTTACTCAGAGAAAGTCTGTTTTTGGACTTAATTTTAAGTTTAGAAGTATTTAGTAAGCCTACCAGATAATACCTAATCTATATATACTTCTTTGTTTTATTATAACTGGTCATTAAAAATTAACAAATTGAATCTATTGAATCAGCGGAAGTTTGAAATCTTATTCAATTATAACTATGTCTAGTAAAAAGTTTTCAAGTGGTTCCTTGGTCGAGCTCGTTTAGCGATTGAAAGTGTAAAACGATAATGGATGTGTCGTGAGTTCGATTCCTGCTCAAGTCAAGCGATCTTAAATAAATAAAAAAAAAAATTGTTAAAAGCGGTTTGCGAAAATAATAAACAAATTATTAATAATATAAAATAGTCTGTGGTGAGTTGCGGTTCTATAAAAAAAAGTGGGGATGTGGTCTTAATGGAAATATAATCCTGGACGTTTTTTGAATGTCCAGTATTCGACGTCCAAATATATTCCAGAATTGGACGTCCTCTGAATGGTCAAAAGTGTGCCATCTGTATACTTCACTGGACGTCCATTGGATGTCGGAAGTCCAGAAAAAACTAATTTTTGGACGTCTAGACATCCAAAATTGTATATCGAATGGACGTCCAATGGACATATTTGTATTGTCTGGGTGATAGCCAGGCCAGGTATTTAACTCTAAATACATAAACCTTAAATGGCATCTGGCTTATCTTTGCGAGAAAACACTTGTTTCTACAGAAATGAGAAATAAACTTGAAAGTCTTTTTAATATAATATAAATTCAGAAATTCTAAAAATATGTAAGTATTTTGTAAGCCTAAAAGCTTTGAAAATATATGCACATTGCAAATATTTAGTTAAACGTCTTAATGTCTTTTTGTTAACTAATTTTTTTTTGGTACCCTTAATTTTATTTGCCTTATTTTTACTTAAGGAAAAGGTAATTTAATTTAAATATGGGGCTTTTATTACATTTTTAACAATAAATAAACCAAATATTGAACAAATTTTATAGATAAATTATAAAATAATAAACGTCTTTTACTTTTATAACAAATAATTAATTATTACATAATGAATTATATTTTGTTGCCGAAATTTCACCATTGCTATTAACCCTAACTACTTCAATGTAATTAAATCACATTACGTTTGCGCATGGACTATAATAATTTCACATAATTTGCCAAACTATTTCACTTAGTGTAGAAAATAAGCATGTTTTCTCAGCATATTAAGTTGTGTATTAATCGAAGTCATGCTGTGAAAAAGGTTCATCCGATATCAAAGGCACCGACAGCTACTGTCGCTTCTCCTTGATCGGTATTCTCGGATGAAACTGAGGGTGGACGTGAATCCCAAGACATAGCAACGTGTTTGATTAAACATTTAAAATAAAAAGCTTCAACCCATAATCATGTCATTGCATACTCAGATTCATGCACCGGCCAAAATCGTAATATAAAAACAAGCTTTTCTCTGTTAAAACTTGTGCAAGATTGAGGTGTTTTGATTAATACAATAGATATTAAATTCTTAGTCTCGGGCCACTCGTACCTTCCTAATGATGGTGAATTTGGTATAATAGAAAGTGCAAGTCGTAAACATGGACTAATTTTTGACCCAGATCAGTGGATCGAAATTATTAAAGGGTCAAAAAAAAAGTTACCACATTTCAGCGTTGTTGAAATGCACAAAACATTTGGAAGCTGCGATTACAAATAGAAAGAAAACAATCTGTTGCCACAATTTCAACTGGCTTAATATTCGATGGCTCCGCTTTCAATGGGATAAACCTCTGCAGTTTCAGTTCAAAGAGACTCTGGATACCGATATGGAGTTTTATACAGTTGACTTGTCGAAAAAAAACCGGTGGCAGGCCCTTAAATAATTTGATTAATATTCAACAAGATCAATTGTATCCATTAAAAAGGGTAATCACAGCTGCTAAGAAAAAGGATATGATGAATTTATTACCATACATTCCACCAATTTATCATCCATTAACGAGAAACAATGAAGATGATCGATCATCCAATGATGAGATGGACTATGATTAGAGCGCCAATGATAAAATTGGTTATTGTAATAATGGATCAACTCCAAAAAAAAAAATTTCCTGTATTTAAAAAATTTTCCTGTATAAAAATATGTTTAAAAAAAACTATTTTGTTGGACTCCTATTATAATTTCAATACTTAGTTCTCAATAAAAAAACAATTAACAATTATTGCCTTTTTTTAGGTTTCCATGATAAACTTTAAAAACACTTCAATATCTCAAAACAGTCATTTATGGAGATAGACCACGGTTATTCTATGAGCCTCAAATGTTGAAGCATTTCAACAAAAATAAGTGTTCTGTCCTTTATCTTGTTTTGACAGCAACACTATTCGGAATCGGACTAAACACATTTAGCAAAAATAAGTTGTCTCTTATCTGGTTTCGGTAGACACACTATTAGCAATTGAACACAATGTTATGAATATTTCGGTATAAATGTCACTCATCATATTATGGACTTCGTCAACTTGTCTTGTTTATCCCGTATATTATTTGAACTATTTTGGAGACGAAAGTGCCAAAGGTGAAGTTATCATGTTTTTTTGCAGTATCCCCACAAAAATCCAAACGTTTATTTAAAAATTAGCGTGATATTTAGCTCAGTGACCGATGAATATTTTCGCGAATTTCGCTCTCAAGATTTTAAAAACAAACCTATAGTATTAAAAAAAACACCTTAATAGTGTTTCGGGTCGCAAAAAGCATGGAGGGCTGCAGGTTGAGTATTGCTGCCTTAGATGTTCCAACTAGATCTATGGTTTTAACTTTTCACCGAAAAACAATATAACTCACTTTTCACATGTAGTCAACCATCCCAGTAGTAACCGTAGTCGGCACAAGGGTATGGTCTATGGTCAGCACTACTAGACTACATGTTTATTCAAAATAAGCTTAGGACTATGGACCACCTCGAACTTGCAGATTGTGACTGTTATTTCAAAAATATTCTAAATTAAAAATTATTTTTCCCATGAGGTTTCCAAAGCAGAATTTTTTTTTAAATGGTTTATTCTAAAATTTCCTAAATATTTACATTATTATAACTGATTTTTTGTAAACAAAACGTATTACAGGTAACAAAAACTAAATTAAAACTTAAGCACTTGCACTACTATCTTCACTTCCAGAACTGGAATCATCTTCATCGTCGGAAGAACTTGAAGATGATTCATCATCCTTCTTTTCGTCATTTTCTAAGCCTTGCTTCCTTGCCATAATCTTCTTATATTCAGCCACGGTAATTTTTTTTGGCATAATATCTCTAAGAAAATTGTACTTTTCTTCATTGTGTACAACTTCTGCAAGATGTTTGTAGTCAAGTTTTTTAGCATGATTAGCATTCTTGTACGCTTCTAAAGCTAGTATTCTAATAAATAATTCCGTAGCCTTGCACATCAGTAAAGATGATGCTTTATTTACTGTGTCTACATCAGATGAGCTTTTCATTATCGTATTTATTCTTGAAACTGGCAAGTGCGCCTTATTCTTTACCTCTGCTGTTAAATCGCTCATTTTGCTTCAGTTGATTGGAATTTCTGTGGGTAGAATTAAAAAAAAATAATTACTACACCCACCATTTTTTAAGCAGTTTGTGTTTAATAAATATATTAGCTTCAATAAAAAATACATTTTTAGTTTTTTAGATATTCTTTTTTTATAAACAAAATTAAATTTATGTATAATTATTACGAAAAATATAATAAAATATGAGAAAAGATATGCAATCCCATACGTGATTCTTAATAGCTATACAGGGTGATCTGTAATGATGTTTCAATATTTTAACAGGGTTTTCTACCGACCATTTAAGGGGAGTTTTTTGATAAAATTTTGCAATTTGAGTCCTCTTTATCGAGATATTTGGGACTCTCAATATGGCGAAAAAATCTTTGTTTCTTTTTTTTTTTTTTTCATGAAAAACGGTATAGTCTATTAATTTTGGTACACATTATCCTTTAGTTAAACCCTATTTTGTGATAGTGTCTCTTCTGCCAGTTCATGTTTCAAAAGGGAAGAAATTAGCAACCTCTCTTTTTAATTCTTTCATTAAAAGCCAATGAAAACAAAAACTAATAAGTACTACACGTTATTTAGAAACGTTTTTCACTCTTGTAATTTTTTCGTGTTATAGCAGAAGAAATTGCAATATTTTTAACTGATCGAAACTTAAATACCGCTTTTTAAAAATCTTATCTGGGAGATCCTATTTTATATTAATATTTAATTTATATTTATTTTAATTATCCAAGGATTTGGAATAATTTATGCAATAATAGTAATTGAATTACGTCGCCATAATAAGAAAAGTGCATAACTCCACTTTTTTGCACACTTGGGATTTTGATACCCTCTATTACAATAACGTCCAAGCCACTTTATGACATAACTTCAGAGTGTCAACTTAACCGATAAATTTTAAATTGAAATAATAAAAATTTGCCTATTTCCGACTTGACAATTGCCAAAAAGAAATTTACCTTTTTGAAAGAAATTTTCAAATTCAAATACCAGCCCGAGAATCCTGGAAACAGGGACCTCCCGTACAGGCTGAACTCGTCTGGTACACAGACGGTTTAAAAACCAAGGAAGGAGCCGGTGCTGGAATCTATGGACCCAAGTCGAAAACAACGATTTCGCTGAGTTTAGGAAAATATGCAAGTGTTCCTGGCTGAGCTAATAGCCATACAACACTGTGCAAGAGAAATAAATCAGCAAGTATCAGGCAAAACTATTGCCATATACTCTGATAGCCAAGCAGCTCTAAAGGCAATTCTCTCACCAGAAATCAAATCACGACTGGTAAAAGACTGTCTAGAAGACCTGACAGAGTTAAGTAGTCAAAATAAGGTGACCCTAGCCTGGGTTCCAGGCCATGAGAGATATCAGGCTAACGAAAAGGCCGACGAAGGCTCAGATAAGGCTATGACAGGCCCGAATCCTTCTGTGGCATTGTGCAAAGCATCCATTAAACAATGGATGCAAAAAGAGTATCAGGAATGGTGGAACAACTATCCAAGACTGAGACAGACCAGACAGTTCATCAAGGAACCATCGGCCAAGTTCACGAAAGCGTCAAACCGTTAGGATAACAGTAGGCCTTCTTACTGGACACTGTCGCCCTAAAGGCACATGAGTGTCATCAATCCAGCAGAAGAAGCAACTTTGTGCAGGTTCTGTGAAGAAGAAGAGGAAACGTCATTCCACATCCTGTGCCAATGTGAAGGCCTGGCTGGAATGAGGTTTCTAACATTGGGCGAATAAAAGCCAAATGCATGCAACTACAAGTGGGAGCCACTGTCAAAGCTACCAGGCTAGACGACATACTCCAAAACAAACGGAGTCCCACAATAGATCTGAAAAGGTCGCGGTGGACAAGGACAAAACGTCCAACTCCTAATCTAATCTAGCTCCACACTTGTTTAAAAGAGTAATGCGTGGAAATGATTTTTTTGTGTTACATTCAAAGTTATTTCCGATTGTAAGAGTATTGAAAATAAACATCTTGATTTTATAGAACAATCCTTTTATATTAAGAACTAAGAATATAATATTTAAGAGAATGTTTCGCTTTGGTTCAGTTACCAATCGCTACTACCCTACTTAACGTTTTCATATGTGTTAGATCTGAAGAATAACAAGTAACGATGTAATAATAAAATCAAATTTTTGAGACAGTTGTCGTCCACTTTTCAAAAAATTAGGAATTCTAACATGTGTAAAACAGTATATCTATGAATGTTTAATTTATGCAAAAAAGGAATATCAATAAAAGTAATTTTAAAAAACCGACTTCAAAATCGAGCAATGCCACTAAAAAGTGAGATTTTTGATTTTCTCATAGATAATTAGATACTCAATTGTATACGTAATTACCCCTTTCTAACAAAAAGAGAATCATCGAAATCGGACAACTTGGTAAAGAATTATCGCTAAAAATACATAAAAAATGAAGAGATTGATGAAGTTCTCATGGACCCCATTATTAGATCTTGACCAAATTATATATGGGACCACCCCTGAGGTACCCCCTTTCTAAAAAAAAGAATCATAAAAGGCAGACAACGTAGTAAAGAATTACCGCTATACATAAAAAAAAATATTCCGAAGAATTGAGAACTTCCTCCTTCTTTGAAATCGGTTAACAACTTTTGCAACGCCTGTGTAACAAGAAATATGCAAGTAAGATTGCCATTTTTTAGATTAACAAGGAATCACAATTCTTTCCAATTTCTAGATGTTATGTTGTATAACTTACTTCCCCTTGAGTGACGCCTAAAATTTTCCAAAAAGATAAAAACTTTTCTGAAAGATAATGTATTTTATAATATTAATGAATTTTATTTTCATTTTGATTTGACTTTTATACTGTAATGAAATTTTATTAGTCTTAATTTGTTATTTATTATTATTTCCTTTATTTAGCTAATTTGCTAATATCACAATATACAAATTTGGTAAAATATATACAGGGTGTCCCGAAATTAGACGGTCATAGTTTAACAGCACAATCTAGGTACATCCTAAAATAAGAGTAAAAGTTTATATAAACATAGGTCCGAAAACGTTTCTTTTCCGAGATACAGGGTGTTAAAAGTGAAGTCCTGATGTCACTCTTTTGTCAATATTTTCTAAACGTTTAATGATAACTAAGTGAAATTTGGTACAAATGCTTACCTTTTTACGCTCTATTTAACGGACTAAACCCCAGTTGTTGATCATCTTCATAGGTGGATAAATTAGGGGGGGCTTAGGGTAAAATTGCCCTAAGTTTTTTTTGTTAACAGTTTTTAACAGTTTTGATTATACAATTTGGAAAACCAATGTTTTCTTTATAATAAAGCTACTTTTGTTGCATCTCGCTAGGACGAACCATTTTCAAGAAAAAAGCATTTGAAAATTTCATGATAAGTTATTCGAAAGTGTAAACAATAATTAGTAGGCCTGTGAAATCAGAAATTTTATTTTTTTTTTACTTTGGAAAACCGGTGATTAAAGAAATTTTAGAAAATATTTACAAAAATGTGCCATCAGGACTTCACTTGTAACACCCTGTATCTCGAAAACAAAACGTTTTCGGACCTATGTTTATTTGAACTTTTATTCCTATTTTAGGATGTAGATTACGCTGTTAAAATATGACCGTCTAATTTCGGGAGACCCTGTATACATATACAAGTTAAAACATAGATAAATACATAGATTATACAAATACAATTAAAACTAACTAGCCCTGCTATTTCTGGAGAAATGTTCATTAATTAAATAATCTGCGACCTCGATTTTAAATATAGTTACAGAATTTACAGATGCATTATAGAGATCTAGACCTTTAAAAAATAGTGAATTTTGTGTTGCACTTTTAACAACGGTTTCAATATAAAAGTTATTTCTATTCCGCGTTATATAACTGTGCACATCAGACTGATAATTAACCCTTAAGTTGGCAACGTATCCGATAGGATACATCAAAAGTACCTATGCTAATATAAATACAATTGTTCAATACCTATATGCATTCTGGGTAGTATACATACGTTTAGAACCATATTGGTCCATGAATTTGTCAATAGGCTTGCTGTCAGATGATTTTAATTTAAGTTACAAAGTGACAACTTTCATAGTGATTTAGTATTAATGAACATCTTGAGATATAACAGACTTGCAATAAGTATTTGTTATTTTATTTAAATTATTATCTATTAGAATTAAAAATATAAGATGTTTCCAAATAATAATAAGTCGTATTTATACTTATAGACATTATTTTTGTAAAATAACTTCAGCCCGAAAGGACAGAAGGTAAATGTATCTTATAGGATACATTACCAAGTTCCTAAGCATACCTTATTTTGTTTTATTTCTATAAATGTGAAGTCAATTATTTTACACAAAGACAATAAACTGTCACAAAAAATAATAGTTATATTAAATTTCTTTATAAATTTGTCATTTCCGGGCAGCATACAGTGTCGGCCACCGAATGTTTTCCAATAGGCTTTGCACAAGTCCATGTGAAAATAACATATCATTAGCGCGTGCAGGAAACGAATAAATCAGCGTTGCCAGTTTATACGTGACAACAAAACAATTTGCTCAACGAAATATCCGTTTCAACAATGTGACGTATTTTGCAATATATGGCAAAAGAGGAAGATGCCGTTTATGTCAAAATGGCCAAACTGCAATTTTTTTCTAAAAATGCAATGTCAGACTTTGTTTAGTGAATTCAAAGAATTGCTTCCTAACATTCTATAATTAATAAAACTTCAATAGATATAGAAATTAAATATTTAAGTAAAATATAAATTTAAATTTGTTATATACTTGGCAACGTATCCTATAAGATACACGTTAGTATTTTTTTTAAATACCAAGTAAATTTTTTTTGAAGTTGACATCATATTTTATAACCGTTATTTAGTAGTTTTTCAATAAAAAATATTTTTTGTAATGACTATTTCTGTTACTGCCAACTTAAGGGTTAAGCCTCTTTTTTAGGTACATCTCGGAAGTACCCCATTTTTGATTTTATAAATAAAAATTAATGTATTCCTCAATAAAAGATTTTTTTTGGGTCATTAAAGATATGTTTGTTTTTTTAGTAAATAGCATTGTTTAATAAAACTATGAAAAAAAAACTAGACATTTTTTCTAACTAATTAAAATTGTGTTTACTTGAAAACAGCCAAACATTTTCTTTTATGAGAGACATACTTTTCAAATAAATACTACATTGTATGTTATAACTAAGTAACTGCTGTTATTTTTGATAGACAGTTAAAAAAAGGCTGAAATAAAAATTTAACAAAAACATAGTTTTCTTTATATGGATTGACCTGCCTTTCTAGTCGTAAACTAATGAGTTGTGTAAACATAACGTTAGCCTAATAAGTAAACAACATGATTCAGGTTCTTATACATATCCAGACTTGTGATATTGCTCTTTATCGTTGGCATTTGGATGATGTTACAGCATTCTTCAATTAACAATTACAAAAAACTGTTGTAGACGTTTCTGGTTAAAAATAAATAAAATAAAAGGAGTTGGAACTGGCATTGAACAAGGCAGTTATGGAAACAGAACACGACCAAGGTGAGTAGGTAAGCATTCGAGAAGCTAAAACCCAACTTGTTCCATTATATCATCCAAAATAATGAAAAAGAGAAGGAGGATCGTACGATAGCTGTTTTGACCAGGACACTTTTATTTCTTTAGCTAGATGACATGATAATTATGTCGTCATGTTGATAGTAGACATTACCATGTCGAAGCTATAAAAACAGCAAAAAGATACAAGTATTAGAAATTAAAAATTAAAAAAAGCCGACTTCAAAAACGTGCAGATGCCATCGCCACATCTTAACCAAATTTATATGGGACCACCCCTGAGGTACCCCCTTACTAACAAAAAAAGAATCATATAAATCGGACAAGGTGGTAAAGCATTATCGCTAAACATACATAAAAAATGAAGAGTTTGAGGATTTTCTCATGGACTCAATTATTAGATTTTGACCAAATATATATGGGACCACCCCTGAAGTACCCCCTTTCTAACAAAAAAAGAATCATTGAAATCGGATACCGTGATAAAGAATAATCGCTGAACATAAATAAAAAAAAAATATCGGGACGAATTGATAACCTCCTCCTTTTTTGAAGTCGGTTAAAAACTGAAAAACGAACAATGAACGTAAAACAACCATTTGTAATATCTAAATAAAATTCCTATATATGAAGGCGTCGATATACATGATAATGGTGGAAAATGGCGGTGGCCTTTATTTACAAATACTATTGTTAATATCTTAGTAAACTCGTGGAAATTATATAACAGTAAACAACACAAATATGTCCCAAATATATTTTAATTCAAATGTGGCATTACGCTTGCTGAAAATGAATTCCTTCACACTTCAACTCCGTTTCCTAACAACATCCCAGCTGATATTCGTCAGGACCAAACGAGTAATTTAATATTGAAACAACCTATAAGAAGAAGATGCAGATTGTGTCCTAGTGAGACAAGAAATTGTAATACACCAAAATTATTTTGAAGTTAAGTGTTTCAGCCAATGTTGCCTTCAAGCAACAGTATTTTTTTGTATATTTCTGTATTATAATAAAATATTTCAATTATGGCCAATAATGGGTTAATGGGGGTAGGTATATTTTGAGCAAGATAATATTCGCATTGCCCTATTCTTCTGCAGTCGGTTCAATTCATTTTGATTTAGAAAAAAGAGTATTGTAGAACAATAATTAAAGTGAGGTAGAATGATAGTGTTATATATAATACATTTAGTCCACTGTGATAAGCCAAATGAACTTCTATATCAGAAATTTAACTTAAATACAATACTTTTGATGACAGATACAATACTTTTGATGACAGAGTTGGCATGATCTGTGATTTTCATCTGTTTGTCAATCATTATCCCTAAGTATTTGAATTTTTCTACTAACTGAATAGAATTTCCTCCAATTGTGATGTTATATTGTTTTTCAACAAATTGCACATAGCCATAATTATTACTTATCAGCATACATTTTGTTTTATTTGTGTTGATTTTTAACAAATTATTGCAACACCATTTATAAACATTTTTCAGTTTCATTAACAACTCTTACTAAGTTATCTGGATCCTTACAAGAAAAGTCGATATGTAATGTAGAGTTGTATTACTTATTGCAGTGAAATTGTAAATGTTTGTTTATGTTACTTATTAGCTTTTATATTCATAATATTAATGTTTTTGACGAGTGTATAGAAATGTAAAATTTGTCTTAACACAATAAACTAAAATAATGTATTTGTTAAAAAATAACGGTTTTCCTTCTCTCTTGTAAAATTTTCCAAAAATGAGATAGGCGTTTTTCTTATTAGGGCGACGATTATTAGGATTTATTGTATGAACACATCATATATTTACAATAGGAATAGATGTGAATAATACAAAACATTTAAAAAAAGGACCTAAATTGCAAAATTTTATAAGAAACCCCCCTTTTAAATGGTTAATCCCTGTTAAGATATCGAAATATCATTATGGAATACTCTGTATAAGCAATGAATATTAAAACTAATACCTATTATGAATATGAATTATGTTTTTAAATGAACAGAATCTGTAAAAGAGGCGTAGGTGAACTATATACAATAGAGGCTGTGAGTAAATTTGGTGAGAAATTAATTGTGGTCACTAGATGTTACACTACAATGTTAAAGAGAGGATGTATTTAGAGGATAGGAAAGTAAAAACCAAACTTTATTGTAAGAGGAATGGAAATTTAAATGCAAATATACATGTTATATTTCTATCAAGAATTCCGTATGGGATCCTAAATCATTCCTCATACTATTTATATATTTAATTATTGGAAATTAAAAAATGAATTTTTCAATCACTAATTTTAAATTCCTCAAAATTGTTCGTTCTCCGCATAAGCTGGTATAGCCTGGCTATATTACACTCAAAGGTATACCTCACTTAATTTGGTTAAAATAATATTCTTATTTATATTGTTGAAATAGAATATTATATTAAAAGTAGAAAAACAAAAAGGTCCTTCATATTTCACTCTTTTTCTACCTTTAATCTAACCTCACATGGCTACTCCAAGCTTGCAGTTTAGAATATTATATGACCTGCATGATTTTGTTTCAAGTCAATTGTTAGAAATCTAAGTATATTTTTAGAATGTTCCACTAGAGTAATTGAAGATAAAATGAAAATAGATGTACCTACCTACTATTTGATCTAATAGAAAATATTTAATAAGGTGTTTGAGGTAAAATTGCTGGCTTTTTAATGCAATGCAAATTCGCTAATTAGAATGCTTGACCAGCCTTGTCCTATTGTTTGCTATTAATTTGAAATGATATAAAATGATAATTGTAAAGGAAGAATGTCTTCAACTACAGTTATATGCAAACAATGTTATTCCTTGGTTTAATAACATGGGTAGTGTGAATAAAAATTAAGCATTTGCTTTTACTTGAAAATTGGCTCGAAAATTGGTAACAAATCATGCTTACTTTCCAATAAATACATTTTTTAGCTAGAATTGGGAAATATGAATTATTTTATATAGACTCTAAGAACTTTAAAAGGTCCAGAAATTTTATTTTTTAAAATATAAGCATGATTTGTTCCTCATTTTTAAGTAAAAGCAATTGCTTAACTTTTAATCACACTACCCAATTGTTATTAAACCAAGGAATAACATTATTTGCATATAACTATAGTCCAAGACAGGCTTCCTTCATAATTATCATTTTATATCATTTGAAATTAATAGCAAACAATAGGACAAAGCTGGTCAAGCTTTAATGAGCGAATTTGCATTGCATTGAAAAGCCAGCTATATTACCTGAAACATCTATTTTCATTTTAACTTCAATTACTCTAGTGGAACATTCTAAATATACAATTAGATTTCTAACAATTGACTTGAAACCATGTACATATCTTGGCATATATTTTCCAGGTTATATGTTAGATTTATTATTATTAATACAGCTCATAATTTTGGTTTGTGTGATGATAAATACTAATAATTTTGAGGTAGCTATACCATTTTCAGGCATTGCAATCTTTGGTGAGGCCACACTTTGAAAATAAATCTCACATATACAAAAATATTACCTATATTCATATGGTCCATACATAATATAAGGTATCGGCCAAACGAATACCTTCTAATATCCCTTGGCACAAGTGGGTGTGAAAACTAAAGAGAGCCAGCACTATGGCAAGGAAAGGAACAATACCAGTGATGCCAGCCAGTACGGCCTGGCCAACGTTTCAACATGGTTGATACCATTTCTTTTCTGCTCCCTCCAATGCCAACCCTCTGCTGCTTTCACTCTCACTTATGGCAAGGGATATCGGAAGGTGTTCATAGGCTGATACCATATATTGCCTTATACACTGAGTTATACACAGTAATTTTAGACAATTACATAAAAACATGTTATAAGTACTTGTGTATTTTGTTACACTCATGTTATACACAAAAAAAAATATAAAAGTATAGGTGTTGTAAACTTTATGAATTGTTTCTTTATGGGTTAATAAGAAAAATTTAAGTACATTACTCAAATGTAAGAATGCTTTTATTCAGTTTATCAAATTTTGTATAGGTATAGGTAGAATTGTTATTTTTCTATTATATTATGTATACATGATTACCTAGCAGTATTTGTAAAGTAACTAATAAACTAGAAAAAAAACATGCATAGCTCTAAAATAACCTGATTTTTTGTCAATTAAAATACTTAGGTACCTATATTAATTTAAAAAATATTTAAAGACCACTTCAATATTTATTCATAACCCTTTTTTAGTTATTTATATCAATTTATTTGTATGGTAAACAATATTACTAAATGTGTATGGCTGGATTAAAAATACTAAAATAAACACAAAATGCATTATTTCTATCAAAATCTACTACTACAAATAATCCACTACCTTCCTACATTCATAACTAGGTATTGCACTTACCCTTAGTGAAAATCGATGCTAAAAAATCATAACAATTTTCTCTTTTATGTCGGCAAGAAGCATTTAATTTAAGATTTATTCAAATATGCAATAAATTATTAATTTACTGCACAAAACCAGTAGAACAGAATGATGGCTTTATTGATTTTTTAAAGGATGAGTGTAACTGACACTTAATTATTAAATATAACGATATTGAGGAATTATTTGCGGTCAACAGATTAATAATCACAATGGTCCCGGCTTATTAAAACTAAGCAATCAAAAAGTAGCAACAAAGCTTGTAAGGAATAACAAATTTTGTATTTGTGTAAATCAAATCGATTCGTACCGCTACAAAACGTCAGGGAAACTGTTATGTTAGTTGTTTAGTCCGTTCTCTTCCGTAATTGTAAATGGTGTCCGGGTGTTGGGTACTGTAAAAAGAGAAATACTCGGATATAAATGCATTGAACAAAGAAAACGACTCTGCATAGCTTAAGAGTGTTTTGTTGACGAATCAGAACTATTTACACGGAACCACGCATGAAACTCAATTCTGAATGCGATTTGCGATTTGACAGTTGATAAATGAAATATCTAGAGATGGGTTGCGATTTTCGCACTTCGATGTTCTTGTTACTGGAACGGACTGTCCCGGGTCTCAAAAAACCGCAGCGATTTTTTGGAGCGATACGTGTGTCGTTTTTTCCACCGGTTTGTTGGAATCGTTGTTTTACCGATGCGGCCTTGAACGCCTTGTGTTGGATTCGATTTATTTATGGTTAACCGTTGAAATAAATAACAGTTGACATTTTGGATTAAAATTTGCGTTTATAATTTTATTTAAATGTACCTATATACTTTAATTTGAACGTATATAATTTTTAAAGCTCATTTTTTCGGTTTTTCCCACAATAAAACAATTTATTAATTAACTAACTCCTTAATTCTGAATAATTCCCGCAATCCAGTTGTCAGTTGTCACATCTAATCGGAAAAACCATATATTGAAATAATGGAATGGTGTTGCATCGATTGCAGCAACGTTGGATAAAAAGACAGCACTGTTAGGTCATCACTGATAGATTGATGAAAAAAAAAAAAAGAGACAGGTAGATACCGCACCGATGCCAACGTTGTTGCAACCTATTGCTCGGAGGTTGCAACAGTTGGATAAAAAGACACACGTGATATTTTGCTTTTTTGAAGATTGCGAAACATATTTGGTTTTCGAACGTGGATTATAATATAAAAAGGTTTGGTGATTTAAGAGCTACGCTACAATTAAACACAATGTAATTTTATCCATAGAAATAATAAGAGAAATTTTTACGAAATATAGAAATTTATTTTCATTTATCTTAACTAAAGAGATCTGTACAAGAATTATTTTAGATGAAAAATAAAAATGTCTTCATTTAAATTTAAACTATGTAATGGAAGTTTTATAACTTTGTCGAAATTGCTGTAAAAATCTCATAGTACTAATTCATTTTTTTGCCATTTTTCGCGTCCCGATACCATTGGCCCACTTGCTATTTTTTTTTTGTTGTTCAAAAATGTTTAAAGTGCAAAATAGCGGTGAATGCACATACTTTGAGGGTGCATGTCATACATCAAAAAAGCGTTAACATCATTGATAAAACAACCTGAGGATAAGTAATTTCTAACTATTTTTGGTATACAAAATTGGGATCAGTAAGTAGGCGTGTCTTGCACTCACTGAAATTGCGGAAAAGCAGGTCCGGATTTACACGTTCTACTTCGACTATTTCTGGTTAAGTAAATCTGATTTGAATTCGAAAAAATTAATTGCCTTTACATATATTGTTTACTATTAAGTTTTTTTAATAAAATAATATGTTTGAACGAAAAATGTATTACTCACTCACAAATCCATATTAAAGATTTCAGTGGGTGCTGTTTATTTTCCGCATCTATTTAAATAAACTATTATAAACCTGTTCATATATTTTTTGTGGAAAATAAATGTTTAGGCAAAAAATATAAATTTAGGTCTAACAATAATTGTTTTTTATAACCGACATTTTCATGAGTTCTTCGTCGATAAACATAATTTAATCTTCTCACATTAAACGAGAAAATTCAACAATAAGATATACTAAGTGTAATAAATTTATTTAAAATCTACAATATACATAATATTTATAAATGCAAATTAGTAGAAAAATTTCCAGAGTTGATTTTTAGAAAAAATAGTAAGCTTCAATTTTTAAATCACCGTATTTCAGACTCTACTGAAAGATTTAATAAAGATAGAAATGCATATGGGTCTCCCAAAAAATTAAATTTGGTTCATCCTTAAGTGAAAACTATTTCCCGTGCACTGTCGATCAATAGTTAACATGGTTTGACGCACGATACACAAATATTTGTGTATCGGAGCATAAAATGAAAAACAATTACGTGCAGCACTTGCAAGCTCAGTGCCAGAATTAAAAGGAAATACTTGAAAAATATGGTTAAATCATTGAGATTTCTATCTCGATGGGAACTGCACAAGATTCTCAAGAGCTTGTAAATACAATGTTCCGAAGAATTATTCTTGTTATCAAAGCTAACGGTGAAGTAACACAGTAGTGAATTTTTTTTTAAATAATTTACAAAAATTGTTCGTCCAAAATAATTGTGATATATTATTATTTCAAATAAATTGAAAACATTTAAATTGTTGACAAAAGTATTTGACGAAAAATAAAAAAGCTTTAATTAGATTTATGTATGATTTGATTTCTTCTCGTAAAGTGTATGTCATTAAAAAATTGAGTATACCAATTAAAGCGGGACGCGGCTCATAATTACACTAATCGCCAGTTTAAAATAATACAATTAAAAAGAAGTAACATTACTCTCTTCAACGTCTGCTAACGTGCCAACGTGGTGATTTCTTACAACGATTTTGCGGGAGCAGTCGCAGAATGACGCTGCGAACTGAGACAGAAAAAAGTCGTCCCAACCCACCTCTAGATATATATCAGTTGTATTTCCTAGAAAAAGAAGAATTTAAATTTACAGGTTAGGCATTTTATTTTGTTGACATTTGGAATAATTTAAAAAATAGAAAGGAGTGATTTTAAATTATTTGCTTTTGTACAAAAGAAAAATTAATGATTATTTAATTTATTATCCAAAATGATGTCTGACGAATCGGAGAATGATGGTGTATATGTAGATCAACAAGAGAAAGATATCTACTATAAGAAGTACAATTTATTACTAGAAGAGTGTTCTAACTTACAGAGATCAAACGAAATTCTTGTCTTTAGGTAAGTACCTCTGTTACCACCATCAGTTTTCAACATCATTTTGTTTTTGTAGGATACAAGAAGTGAACAAAATTACAAAGAGAAGACTGAAAGATATAAAATTTTTCAAACAGAGGTTAATAAATAATTATGAAGAAGATTGGACAGTCATTCCAGATATAGAACATACCCTAAATAAGGAAGACGACAAAAAAGCTGTAGCTAATGTTTTCATTGCCAGTAAAATAAAAGAAGAGAAAATTGATGAAGGTAACTATTAGGATAACACTGTTGCACTATATTTTACAAATTTTTAATAATTTCTTTAAATGCTGATGGATATTGACAGTTTTGTCTATTAGGATTAAAAGGAAATTGATCTACTCGGTTACAATATATTTTTTAATTTATATTAGGTGAGGAAAAGGTAGAGAAAAAACCTACAAAGAGACCATCAAAAAGAAAGTCATCAAGATCTGAAAAAGACCCAAATGCACCAAAAAGACCGTCAAACCCATTTTTCCAATTTTGTCAAGAACAGAGGCAGATATTGATGGAACAAATCGCATCTGAATTAAAGCCTGGTGAAGTCGAACCAAGTAAACAAGAATTAACCAGACAGCTTGCTATTAAATGGAAAACCCTCTCTGTACCTGATCGAAAAGTATGTATGAAAACTTCGACACGACAGAAAATTACCTTTTTCTTTTCTAAAAAAATTTTGAATGTATTTTTTTAGGTGTATGTAGATCGTTATGAAAGATCCAAAGAAAAATATGCAGCAGAGATGGAAGAGTATAATATGAAAAAATGAATATTCATTTATTGACTGAATTGTTTAGACAGTGAGAAAAACTTTTTTGTTGTGTAGGTATCAAGTTGTTTCTAAAATAACTCTTGATTTGCCTGTGATACCTGACTATACAAGTTTATTGGTAGAAATTACAAAAAAAAAAACTAGGAAAAATAATTATTGAACATCTTTAACAAAAATATTTTTTTTGTTGTTTAGGTTTAATAATAGACAAATATGAGTTAGTGATATGTATTTGAGGTTAAATTAAATCAGGTCATATAAATTAGTTTAATGGTATTATTTTAATATTTAAATTAATATAATATTGAAAATATTAGAAATAAGATGTTATTGAATACCCAAGGGGGAAACCACTAAGGTCAAAATGTATTTCGGAAATCACCTAAAAATTTTTTATGTGATTTTGGTGATTTCGCCTAAAAATCCCTCAATTTTATTCGATGACTTTTTTACTATTCCCTTATCTTTTGATCCACAAGCTGCTACATTTACATTTTTGAGTGACGAATTGATTTCGAAGTGATTTCAGTAACGATTTTGACCATGATTTTCGAAGATATTGGAAATTTCGATAAAATTTGTAGTGAACAGTATAATAAATATACCTATTTTATTTCAAGAAAATTACAATATATTGTACATAGTCTAAAATTAGTGGGACAATCATCACCCAAAAAAAGATTATATTACAGCTTTCTGACATTTACATTTGGTATTCTATATAGTCATTAACAGAGCAAGGCAAAATTTATTATAAAATCTTAAGATTTTATAACTTACACTTTTTTCAGTTAGCGTTAATCTGTGTATAGGGTAGTTGTAGCAAAGATGTCTTGTGGTATATTTATTCTGGGGTTTAAATATTTTAAATGTATTTCTATTCTTAACGAAGTAAAACAAACACTCTTGTATAAATATTCCATAAAAGGTGAGTAAATTCAATTTCCTAAACTGCCCTCTACAAGATTCATTGACTTTTAAGTCTGCTACGATTCTTAATGCTCTTTTTTGAGTTACAAACACCTGATTTGAATCTCTGCTGTACCCATAAAATATAATACCATATCTAGTATGTGACAATGGTCAGGGACCCCGTAAGGGCTACTGGCGCCTGTGTGCAAAAAAGGATTTAGGCGCCCCTTATGGCATTTTGGATCATGTTTTTTCATTTATTTTTTGGTGTTTGAAATAAAGCAAAAAACAACTGTAGAAGTCATATTTATTTGCAGACTAAAATATCAAAATGAAACAAACAGAATAAAATCATAACAAAATAAATTAAAAAAAATTCTTGTTCACACCCATTTTAAAGCATTTACCTACTTAACTAATGGGATACAGACACGTTGTTTATAAATACTAGAAAATAAACCAAAACTAATAATCACATTTTTTTAGGAACAAATAACAGAAAATTGCCTAAGTACTACTTTTTCTACTTATACTTAGATATTTTAAAAATATGCAGATACTTCTGATAACAAATACCTAGGTAACTTTCGTTATGAAATCAAAAATGATAGCTAGGTACAATAGAAAAATAAAAAATAGCTATTGTAGTAGCGATATTTTCCGAGACTTTGCTGTTGCAAATTCATTAATTACATCGCTAAAATTTATACCAATTTCTTGTTCAATTGCTAATATTGCTAGCCCAGACAATCTTTCTTGAAGCATTGTCGATCTGAAATAATTTTTAATGATTTTTAACTTTGAAAAAGATCGCTCGCCAGAAGCTACAGATACAGGCAATGTCAGAAGAATTTTTAGTGAAATGCTTACGTTTGGAAGGGTGGAGATTAAATTGTTTTCAAATATATATTGAAAAATACTTAAGGGGTCAGTATCACCAGGTAATGAAAACAACTTTTAACGCTTTAATTTCATTAAAAAAATCATTGGAGTCTATATCCTTATTATCCTAATCTGTTAGTCGTTCTTCAAGAACAGAACAACATTTTAAAAGATCGCTGTCACTTAATTTGAATATGTCGCTAAAAAATCCGAAAATATTATCATACTCTTTTAATAAGTCAAATCAGTTTTTTAGAGAGCTTAAATTTTGATCTATAATTTTTAAGAAAAAACTAATTTTAAAGACGGTTTTTGGATCATGTGGGGTCTCATCTCGGTGTTCATAGTCAAACAGTTTTGGTTTAAATTTCCTCCTGACCGTTAAGTGGAAAGTTTTCTTCAATTTCGAGAGAGTGCTACTTCTTTCGCTTGTTCAAGAATTTCTTGAAATTATTGGTCAGATTTATATTGCTGGAAGTGATCAACTAAATTTTTTAGGTAGGTTTGGCATACTTTAATATTAATTGTAACATTTTGCATTTGTTTGCTGACAATATTTATATGAAATAAATCGTCATGCTAAATAATAATTCCACAAATAAATTGAAAATTTTGTACAGACGTTAAGAGGGAACTCACTTTATGTCTTGCATCAATGTGAAAGGAATTACCTTCAGCTACTTCTAGAAGACTTTCGCAAACCTTAATTAAATAAAGTTTAAGGGACTTTATTGCATCAATTCTGCTGGACCATCTTGTCTCACTTGGAGGCTTTAAACTTAATCCGAGGACATTTTTTCTCATAAAGCCCACCTTTTTGTGGATGACTAAAAAAAATTATATAACTCTTGCACAAGATTAAAAAAGTTTATTGTAGCATCTAACACCTTAGAAGCGTCATTTACTGTTAAGTTCAAAGTATGAGCCCCACAAGGTACAAAAAGGGCTCTCGGATTCGCATCAAGAATGCGTTTTCGCAACATGCTTTCCCTTCATGTTTGCCCCATTATCATAACCTTGCCCCCTAATATTTTTTATATCTAAATTTAATTTTTTCAAAATTTCTGTCACAAATGTGTACGAAGGTGGATCAAAAATACCCGTGTTAGAAAGGAAGAGGCAAGTTTTTCAAAAAAAATTATTTCTAATTTTCAACGTAATCTCCTTTCAGTGCTATACACTTTTCCCAACGTTTCTGCCATTTATTTAACCCCTTCAAAAAATATGATTTCTCGAACTCTGCAAAATACGCTTCAGTCTCCACGATAACCTCCTCGTTAGAACTGAATTTTTCCCCCGAGCCACGTTTTCATGTTGGGGAATAGAAAAAAGTCGCATGGAGTCAAGTCGAGCGAGTACGGTGGGTGCGGCAGCAATTCGTACTGCAGTTCTTGCAATTTGACCGCGACAATTCTCGATGAATGTGCTGGTGCGTTATCGTGGTGAAACAGGACTTTTTTCTTAGCCAAATAAGACCGTGTCTCCTCTAATTTTGCATCGAATCGGTCCAATAATTCACTATAGTACTGCCCAGTGATTGTACTTCCTTTCTGCAAAAAGTTGATGAGGATTATTCCCTTGGAATCCCAAAAAATCGTGGCCATGATCTTTCCGGGCGATGGGACCGTCTTTGCTTTCTTCGGAGCAAATTCACCCCGAAAAATCCATTGCTTCGACTGTCGTTTGGTCTCTGGCGTATAATAATGTATCCAGGTGACGGTGACGACTCGACGCAAAAACTCCTGCGAATTTCGATTGAAGAGCTCCAAACACTGCTTCGACATTGACAGCCGTATCCGCTTGTTGTCCACCGTAAGCAATCGCGGTACCCATCGGGCCGATACCTTTCTCATGTTTAACTTATCATGCAACATATTAATTGCCGTTCCGTTTGATACGCCTACGGCCTCTGCTACTTCTCGCACTTTCGTTCGGCGATCTGCGACAATCATGTCTTGGATCTTTTTAACGATTTCCTAGGTAACAACGTCTGCCTCGCGACCTGGGGCTCGATTCTCGAGTTCATTGGAAAATTTTCCCATGGGAAAAGATTCCACTACTTATATTCCCATGGTAATAGGTTATGCAATTCTCGAACTTGTCGGCATAGACATTCCCATGGAAATAATAGTTTCACGTATGTCTGATATTAAGTTCACGAATATTTCGAAATAACCAATAACATTAAAGATATTTTAAAATTTACTGTTGGTATTATTTGTATTTGTTGTGGTTTTTGGGTAACCGATTACCTGCCGAGCTTCTGCGCTGGAGCAGATGCCGTGCCGAGCAATCGCTAGCATGACCGAGGACAATATTCGATTATGTATAATTAAAACTTATCGAGTTATTTTTAGTTTTTCTTTTCACATATTGAAAAAAGAAAAAGTAGCTTTTGTATAGAAGAGCAACGAAAGTTTCGAGAAACTAAGAAATTCTTTCGTTAACGGAAATAATAAAATTTTCGAAAAGGTCTTATTAAATTTACTACAAATTTCTCAATTTGTGTTACCTATTTGCCAGTCCCTTAGCAGCTCCCACAATTTCTAACTAATTTAAGAAAATCAGTTTCTTAGTGAAAGAGAGGTAACAATAATATACCCACATAAATAAAATAATATCAATTTATAAATACACCAAAAAAATGTTTTAACTCTAATTTTACCAAAAATCCAAGATATCCAATAATCTTTGGTTATGTCTTAGTCTTTCGCGTGGTCTTTCGTCAAATTTTCGACTTTAATGCGCAAACTCTAGTACAATTCCCATTGGAAAACACAATTTCCAATGCTCGTAAGCAGGGGAATATTTTCCCATACTTCTCATTGGAAAATATTCCACCGCTTATGCCGAGAATACGAAAACTGAATTCCCATGGGAAAATTTTAATTTCCCATGGGAATAAAAGTCGAGATGAAAAAAGAACAATATCGATCCGTAATTCGCTTTTTATTTTTGGATGGAAAAACATGCGATGAAATAAATGCAAAGTTGGATGCTGTCTATGGAGACCCTTCACCATCTATGACAACCGTAAGATATATTGGTTCGTCAAATTTAATTGTGGTCGTACATCTGTTTTTGATAAGGAGCGACCAGGGGGTCGATTCTCGACTCGTAGGAATTTTTTCCTATAGGAATTTTTGACATTTTTCTATACATAGAAAATTTATGACATTTCCCTACATATAGGAAAGTGTCACAAATTCCCATAGGAAAAGGTTCCTACAAGTCGTGAATCGACCCCCTGGTCGCTCCTAATCAAAAGCAGATGTACGACCACAATTAAATTTGACGAACCAATATATCTTACGGTTGTCATAGATGGTGAAGGGTCTCCATAGACAGCATCCAACTTTGCATTTATTTCATCGCATGTTTTTCCATCCAAAAATAAAAAGCGAATTACGGATCGATATTGTTCTTTTTCCATTTTATCGATTAATGCGAAACACGTATGGTACAAGTGGC